ATTAGAAGTTTCAGTATCCTGAAGGAAGAGACGACGGAAAAGGATGTGATATCTATTGGCACAATATCGTTTATCACGATATGAAGTCAGTTGTCAATAGTGTTAACGCGAAAGTTAATAAATTTCCAGGTTCTCGTTTCAGTTCAATATTCATTCAAAAATTTTCAATCCGAGAAAGTGTTCGGTCTGCGTTCAAACCGCTCGTATAACGAGAATTAATTAGCTCATAGAATATGCGACATTCTATTCGTTATTAGCTGCTAATACTTTTATCATGGCGCTTCACTTAAGTGTTGCATCATTCATGACATACGAAGCACAAAGAGGATTTTGCATGACTGTTTATTGCCAATTTTATACTACGAATGACCACATTGAAATGTGTGTTAGTTAAGCTGATTACAATGTTACCTTGGTAACAAATGCAATCAGTAGACAACATTCATTACATTAAGAGCTATGAGACATGAAATATTATAATTAAGATGAGCCATTAGGGAATGAGAGTTCCGAAGTACTCCTTTGACTCCTGTTATTTGTACCCAAATACAGACTGGATCTTTGTCTTCGAATAGGATTCATAATATTCGAATTCTTCCGAACTATCAATCAGCTGCCAATCAAACGTCTTTCTAGAGATGTTTGATTTGCATCCGAATATTGATTTGCCAAATTTATGCCATTTTCGTAAGACATAAAATGGTAACGGTAACAGCGGAACATAATCTGATTTCTCACCCAGTTCCATTAGCATGAAAGTTTTACTTAGAATTCAAGAAATGCAACTTCTTTCCTTATACATTTCAAAACTTAACTGGTCATGGAAATCGAACACTGCGCTGAAATTCAATTGAGTGCTATCACATTTACAAATATATTGTAGTTTATGGCGAGATTATAATCACAGCAAAATTGTTGAAAGGAATTTGACAGGCATGACTGAGTTGTCAAAGAAAATCGCATTGAGTCGAGCGATAACGTCGATGCGAAAACTTTTTCCGGACGAATATGAATTCTATCCGAGAAGTTGGTTCATTCCGACGCAATTCGACGAATTCTGTGAATATTGTGGGAGTCGAGAGGCGATCAATAGTGATGACATTGATCACAATCAACAAGCCCCAGTGAATTGGTACATCGTTAAACCCGATGATGGTATGCTTTTAGCTATCGCTCATTACTGGATCCTCCATTCTAGATCGATACGACAAGATGAGACAGGCACCCATGTGGCATTTCTAGCGGAATATTCACGATGAAATATTCACTGTTGCGTTTGAAATGCTCAAAATCCTGTTAAGGTCTTGAAGTGCAATTGTATTTAGGAAAACATAGAAATCAATGCATTTTCTATAGTTTCCCCCGCACTTTCTAAAAAAGTTTAAGATATCCTCGTACCCCATACAACTATAGTTACAATGTCTTGCACCCGTCACAATATCTGTTCTATACCTCTTATTCACTGCAGTGAGAGTTTGCATTGTACATAAATGTATACCATCAGAGTATGTTCTAGCCTTTTCAAAAATATATACGTTAGAGTCCATCCATCCCCGCCTGCTTTACACACATTATGCGTTAAAATCAGCCCAATATCTAAAAAATGAAATTTCATCTCGCATCCCCGGTTGAGAAACCTTATTCCAACAGGAACGAATAAGACAATGAGCAAACGATCAATAGACTAACTATTAACTGTTTACATCAACGTGCTTAAGTGGTATATAGAAATCAAAGCTTCCAGGCCATTAACCAAAGTTTTAGTGTGAAAAGCACTGTCGAATGATGCGCTAAAACACTTAAAGTAATAGTAATGGTCGAATTGATTGCTTTTGTAGATTAAAGTTGTTGACTAAATATCTACTCACTTCTTTAGATATATTGCAGGAGCTCAAGGTAGCGGTATATACCTGATAAACTCTCCGTCACAACTGAAAGATGTAACAACAAAGCAACTCATTCAAGAATATGTTTCTGATCCATATCTGATGAGCGATTTGTTGAAATTTGATTTTCGAGTGTATGCGGTCATTAAAAGTATCAATCCATTATCGATATATGTTGCAAGAGAAGGTTCGCACTCAATATTTTATGGTCTCTATCCACTGTTGACGCAGTTTCGAGTTATTCCGCATTAAGCCTTTTCACAGATCATATACTGACTTCTCTATCACTTGATAAGAGCTGTTAGAACTGCTTCTTCTCAAATCTTCTCAAATACTCAAAAAGAGTAGAGTGAGGTTATGCGGAATAAGAATTCTTCATAGTTTGAAGGTGTCAGAAGTGAAATGTTTTATTCTAACACTCATGATAGTGGGAAGGTAAGAATGGTATTCTCATGGGGCATAAGAGTAACCGATATAAATGGCAATCACTCATAATCAATAATTATAGGAATGGCCAGATTCTGTACTGAGCGATACCATCGACCTACTACATCAAATTCTAACAATTTGTATGCACATTTGACAAACTATTCTTTGAACAAAGCCAATGACCATTATATTCACAGCAATTCACTGCAAGATCAACTCAGAGGTATCCGTTCCCATTGAATTGTATTTTATCGAATGAAGTAACTGGATGCAAATCGCATGTTCTAATAATACTGTGTCTGCATGGAGCAAAATTCTCAAGTTATTGCATTTTAAGGCAGTAAACGTCTGTTGTCGACTGTATTTCGTCAAATGGAAGTACGAGGCGTCAAGACGAAACGTCTCTGGCATGACATCAAGCTGATCATCGTTAAGACAATACTGGCAATGGTGCCTGAGATTATGCTGTGCTACGAGCACTATTTCTTTGATGCACCCGGTCCACAATGCTTCCAAGTGTGCTCATTTATTTTTTTGTCATTTTTCATTTTCTGCAAAATTATTCTGTGTTTATTTCATGGATGTCTTCAGTACGAATCATCTCTGTGAGTTTTCAATCTCGAAAGAGCAAAATTGTGTTTCTATCGCTGTTAACCTTTTATTGATCTTGAATAACAAAAATTTTCAAACAGATAATGGGGTTCGATATATTGGTAACACGACAGTTGGATCCGATTCTTTTGGAAGTCAACTCAGCCCCAAGTCTTACTATTGAGCATTCACTACCAGTGAATCAGGAGGATGACCTAGAAAACATTGAACCTCAGAAAATTCGTTCTGTTGTCGACGAGGTTTGTTATCCATTATCATTTATTGCTTTTAATATCACCGATTATTACTGTTATATCTCCTGACATTCTCGAAATCGCTATCATTCATTGTCATAACAATTGTCATCAAATTCATTAGTGTTACTATTATTGTTTATTGCCTCTTTCAATGATTACTTGTCGCGAATGCATCGCAGTGACCAATATTTTAACGGAATTATTGGTTGAAAATTAAAATAGTTAAGAGTCGAGTTTAAAAAGTTAACATTTTTGAGATAATCAAAATCCCTCTTGTAATGGACACTATCCTGCTGGTTTTGAATATATTCGATGACGTGTACAACGAACCGCGTATCAGGTAAAAATCTCGATTTTAAATCACTTTGAAAATCCCATTTTTCACATCAATCACCATAATTCATTTCCATCTTATTGCCTTTCTTATGAATGGGGTCCTTTGATGCGACTGATTTTTGATAAATGACAGCTTCGTTGTCATGGTAAATAGACGTACAGTTCATGCTTGATTTTCTTCCATCGTTGGTTACCCATTTTTTATACAAACTTGTACTTTTTTGTGAATTTAGTAATGTCTGCATTTTATTTTTACCTCTTTCCTTATATCATCACGTAGGATTATGCATATATCATATAATTGATCAAAATATTGCTGAACATCATTTTCAGTACAGGGAACGTTCTCTCGGATGTGATAAATCATGAGAAGAAACCAACTGACGACAACAGGTTGACGTTGAACACAAAGAAGAAATCGCGTCTTTCAGAGGTAATAAATAAAATGGAGCGCATACATATTGAAAGTTCGTCAGTATTACAGATTCATTTTCAGACAACACAAAGTTTTCGATTGTAAGGTATTCGAAGAGACTTTTCAGATATTCCCGTGTCGATATGGTCAGTGCAGTGGTCATTTGCTGTTTCTCGATAAAGCCGTCTACCTGTTCATGCAATTCGTTAACTTGAAACAAACATCCTTCATGACTATTTCTGGTGCTAGAACGTTGATCAAGTATGTCGCTTTCATAAAGCAGTAACTCATTTCAACATTCGACTGTTGCTCTTAGCGCAGTAGCTTTCGACAGTTCTGTTGTGCAAACAGTCGATTTATTTTTGTGTTTCCAGGAAGTGTAATTTAACAAACGTGATCAGCACAGCAGAACTGGAACGTAAATTCATTGAAGTTTACTATCATTTCACTGGTGAACAGTGGACAACTGGTGCATGCGGTGAGTGAGCAATAAACTTGCAGATTCAATGTCAACGAATCTTTTAAAACATACAGCACCTGTGCTCTATTAATTAGTATTTCTTTTGAGCATTCAGTTCGTCGCCAAAAACTCAATCCAAATTACTTGTCAGTTTCCATTGCGTAATGATGAAACACCAAGAGAGTCGCAGATGCACCATTAATAATTATCAGCGAATTTCTTCTTGAATTGATACTTTTCAGGACTAACATTTCACGGGTTTTTGACACTTATTTACGAGATTGCACAATTGAAATTTCCGTTGTGTGACAACCTTCTGGGTAGTGTGCAACGTTTGTTTATGTATTGTGACATGAGTCTTCAACATTACGGAGTTCGATCAGCGCGACTGCGACGAACCCAAATCGATAACGATAAAGAGAAGTCAGTTTCCCTCATTTGATATTGCCACCGAAATAGACACTCAAGCATTCACCTTATTCTTGTAGGTAAATCACTTCCACCTTTTTGTAGTGCGCCATCAGTGGATAGTTTTGAATTGCTACAGCGAAACCATGCATCTAAATGAGAACAGTGACTCTATCACGTAGATTAAACTACAGTTTCTTATTTCCATCTAACCAAAATTTTTGACCTTGCCGTTCCTCCAATATAGATTTATTGGCCCTTCGTCAACGAATAACACAAACAGATAAATAGGAATAAGAAGATAAATAACATAAATAATTATGAACAGTAGATTCATGCGTGTAATCCGTACATCGCTTAAACCATTCCTCATGTTATCATAGTGAATATTATCTTATTCGGATCAAATAGCTGAGCGTTATTCATCTTTCACGATCTGTTTCAACGTGACACAATGTAGACTACAACCGAATCCTCAAAAGATTTCATTACATTCGATTTGTAGTTCCCACATCAACAATTCATTTCTATTCTCCCTCAATAAATATGTAAAATACAATAAGTGTTGCATTGTTTTGTATTGAATATCAGATTGAAAATTTCTAGTTGTGTGGAGATCTACTTATTGCCGGCACGACTGAAGGAGAGACGATTAAGTCGCTACCAGACACGTTCACGGAATGACGCAGGTCGGAAAGGGCGTTCCAGATATTCGCATTCTCTGCCGAGAAACATCAACCTATCGAGTGCTGCCGGCAAGAACATGCAGTCGGATGCGACTACTGAAACTGCGAAACGTTCCAAAGTGGATCGTTTCGTTTTGCCCAAAATCAGACCGCCTTTTTATGTTTAACTGATGTACACATTTAATGAGTGCTTGCAGAATGATCAGTGTGCAGCGAATACTATTGAAAAAACAGTAATATGTTGCGCGGAGTCAACGGTATTTCAGTGGGACCACTGAAGGTAGATTGAGCAATAGGAAGAAATAACATGGCAGCATTAAGGATTATTTGGCGAAATATTAATGCAATGCTGAACTTACCCCATATCAGTAGAAGTTCCAAAAAAGTTGATGAAATATTGAAAATAATTTGGACGAATAATGCTCTCTAAATGGGATCATACAATCAATACAATACCACTGATCTAATATTTTAGTAAACTGATCATTTGTTACTATAATGTAGGCACTCCAGTAACTCATTCCTCAATATTTCAATATTATTACACAAAAAGATTTTGTAATTTCTCAACAAAAGGTTTTTGCAATTGTTAAATGCATTTTGCTCAATCTGTTATACTGTAATGAATAAAATGTTTTTCGCTTTCACGATTCAAAACGTTTTCGAATTGTTTGCGTTGCTAGGATGCACTAAAAGCTTTTCTCATGAAATGGTATGGAAACGGTTTTGATATTCCATATTTCTTATCATCTTTACAACATTTATGTACCATAAGTAAGCATGTGTTCGGATGTTATTCTTGTTTTCGGATGCTTGAACGGTGAGCTTTCCAATCAGTCATATCTTCTGCGCTTCTACTTCGCTGACTGTCGAACACAGACTGCTCGCAATTTTTAGCACTTCTGAAATATAGATAATTCCAAAAATGAGTGATGCCACTAACCAAGTGCTAGTGAAAGAACTCAATTTCAACTGATCTTAAACTTTCTAATTTACGATCGACATTGAAAATGAGTTGGATTGCTTCTCGAAGTTGAATTATGTTATTACAGCTTGCCTACTGACTTTTTAGACCGTAATGTTCACTGCAGTACAAGCGATGAGCACTCGTTTTACTGATTCCATTTTCATTGAGTCCGGATCGGATAGCACAATTTTGATTGTAAATTTCTTTTGATATACAAATAGAAAATCACTGAGAGATCATTAAGGTTGTTCCCGTAACAGTATCAAGGTTTTCCATAGCCCAGTGGATGAAATTTTACCAGATTGATATGTTTAATCTCGTTCAAATGCTAACAGTAGTTCTGGATATTGCTATTTTAAGGAGTTTATTCCCAATATTGACCAATTTTGCTTCCAGGTATCATTCATCAGAGCGTATCAAGAAGTACGCCCCAGAGTGAGATCGCAGCTCAACTGGTAACAACCACTACACCACTACCGTATCCAACCACCTCCTATATGGGACCATATACCGGCGAATACATGGGTGAAGTATGGCGACCAAAAACAACTGCAGCGCCAAGAAGAGCCCCGACAACGAAAGGAGAGTCAAAATCGAAATCGAGTTCGAATAACTCAAATGACGGCCGTTCATCGTCTGCGCTCTTCGGCAATGCAACGCAACGGAAGTTGAAAATCTATACGAATTTAGATTCGAGTCTTGCTAAAAAGTTAACGATAAGCACTGTTGGTTAGTATTGCATAGCAGTAACACCGGTAATCTGCAGGCGTTTTTGGCCAAACATGCACACGCATTGGGAACAGGTTAAATATTTGGGAATAGTGAAGAGCCGCTCAAAGGACATCGATGAAAACATTGCGCTTTTCTGAAACTTCAATTCATATTTCTGAAAATTCAAAACTTCTGAAACTTCTTCAATCCATATTTCATTTAGATCTGACACTGAGAAAACTCTGCATGATATCAGTTGACGATAGGATTATAGCATGACAAGATTGTAGTCAAATTGTAGCAGTGATCATGATAACAGTGAACATTACGACGTATGGTGTGACGTTTCGTTAATATAGTATAACGTTAACTTCATAATATAATGAAGTAAAGTACTAATCGCTATGCATAATCGCTAAATTATTATTACTATTATCAACATTACTGAAAAACATAAACATTACGTAGTAGTCTATTTGAAATGATGTCAAAGAGAAAATTCGATGAATTAGCAGGAATTCAAATCCACTTTGTTATTCTATGCAAAATAAGTGACAGCAATAATGAAAAGCAAGAATGGACCGAAAATAATGACGGAGTTGGTTCGGCGATAACCGTTTTCAGTTGTTGCGGCAATAGTCGTTCTCGTGACACTGATACTGACGCCGTGGTGTGACCGTAAAACTCGAAGCGCTGGACTAACGCTGGACATCTATCGTTACGATGATATGGTTCGTATCGAAAAACAACAAATCGCCGAAGTGGCTCGTCGTCAACAACGTCAGAAACGTGTAAGTGAACTAACGAAAAAAATTCTCTTTTTCCATGCAAAACGCCTGTCCACATAACCACGAATGAACACTTATATAATAACAAGATGATATTTTCAAATAAATCCTCAGTTTCGAACCGCATTAGAGTCAGATAAGCTTACTTGCTGCTTATGTTCACCAAACCACTAATAACTGCCATCTACAAGGTTGATTTCAATGTGGCTTGAGAATATTTCGAATGAAATACGTCCGAAATTTTGGCCAGAACGAACGGAAAGGACCACGATGTGAGGAAGAGCATGCAGAGGGTATTCGAGACCGCAGATTATTGATATTGTTTCAGGAAGAAATGCTCCATTCACCGGAACGACAGAAAGAAGTCGAACTGCGTCAGCGATACGGCATGAAAGAAGAGGCACTCATTAAGATAGAAGATGCATGTGAACCACCCGTATCGGAGACAGTATGAAGCTAGCGATATTCCGAATGAGTCAGTATTTATTCCCCAACATGAAGAATATCAACAGAAACTGAATAAATCTATCAAGACTGCTTGCCTCATGCAGGAATATGACATGTCTATATCCGCATAACATGATAAATACACATCCCGTTCTCTGAATCACAAAATAAGTTGAGACAAAATAGCAGATTCGACTAACAAATATCTCTAGCTAATTGTAAGTAATGTAAAGCGTATGCAAATACGGTATTTGCATATCATTAAATTTTGGTCGGCAGCATGTTATAAAAAAACAACAACAGAAACACAACAGCATGAAACACAACAGTTCAACAGCGAAAACATCATCAAAACAGCGCCCAAAATGCTCATAATTTCTCGTTTCCTTTGATAAACATCAACATATTGAATAACTCATCGGAAATTCTCGACCGCTTCGCTCGCATGATATCCTTTCCTAGCGAAAACATGCGCTCCACTGGTGCCCCAGAAGGCATGCCTGTGTTATATCTGAAATTTTTAACTACTTGAAGTCATGCTAGAGGTATTAATATCTGAAGTAGAAACAATAGGTGATGAACAAGTATTGTTAAAACAAGCATGGAAAACATTATAAAGTAGCTAAAACAAGTATGACCAACAATATGTGGACCTGATAAACAGTTTAACGAAGCGCGTGTCATTCATAAAAGTTGCATCCCGCAGACTATTTTCGAGTTCTCCATCTAACCATTCTTCAACGATCTTTTTTGCTCTCTTTTTCAAGGACTTTTCGTGCGATTTGTCGACAGGCGTTGATATAACGCCGAAGAAGTCATGATTGCTTGTTGTTGTAACAGATTCTGTACTGTAAATAAACTGATAGCGGAAGATAGCGGAATATAGCGGAAGTTGCTCGCTATCGAACAGCGATAGCGCCGTTCCCGCTATCGCTATTCCGCTATTCACTCGAACTTCCGATATCGCTATTCCGCTATTC